TCATGTGAGGTCACAGCAAGAAGATATTTGTCAGGAAAAGAGGCCTTAGCAGAGACCAATCCTGACACACTTTGATCTTGGTCTTCCAGCCTCTAGAACTCTGAGAAAATAAATCTCTGTTAATTTTTAAGCCATCCAGTCTGTGGTATTTTGTTATGGCAGCCCTAGCAGACTAATACAGTCAAATTTATAAAAACAAAAAATAAGAGGGATTGGGGAAAGTAGGAAGAGAAGAGTTGTGTTTAATGAGTGTAGAGTTTCAAATTTGCAGGATGAAATAGTTCTGGAGGTATATTTTACAACAATCCTATACAATAAAAGGCCAATATGCAAATCGACCAAACTGTGGAACGACTGGTCACTATGACGCACACTGACCACCAAGGGGCAGATGCTCAATGCAGGAGCTGCCCCCTGGTGGTCAGTGTCCTCCCATAGGGGGAGTGCTGCTCATGCTCAGCCAGAAGCTGTGAGCCCAGCTTTGGGGCCCCGATCACGACCGGCGGGGGGCAGGGCCCCAAGAAGCCGGGCTCATGGCTGACGATGGCAGGAGCCTCTCCCGCCTCCACAGCAGCACTAAGGATGTCCGACTGACAGCTTAGGCCCACTCCCTGCGTGCTCCCGGACTGCGAGAGGGTGCAGGCCGGGCTGAGGGACCCTCCCCTCTCCCCGCCGAGTGCACATGCATTGGGCCTCTACTGTGAATATACTTGACATTATCGAACTACAGACTTAAAAAAACGGTTAAGATGGTAAATTTTATGTTATGTGGTTTTTATCCCAATGAATACACAGAATTTCAATTTTCTTGCTGAAATAAAAAAAAATAAAAAGATAAGAAATACAACTTCACAAATAAAAACAACCACTAATACTATTTTATAGATATGAAATGCGTATGGATGTGGCTTATATTTGTTTTTATTTCATTAGAAAAAGCAATAATGATGACTGTCTTAGGGCAAAAATAACACTTCTGTTTTAGAAGCAATAATTACCTATATATAGCCAACAGAGAGAAACCTAGTTAGTTTATAAAATATAATCTCTAAATTCTACTACAACTAGGGGTGAATATGACATACCTTTAACATTTCCTCCCTCAATATATTTTGCAAGAAAATGCTATTAATATAAGAACATAGAATAGGTCTTCTAAGTTCAAATTCTCTGAATTCTTAAATTGGATATCTCTTGAAAAAGGTGGGAAGAACAAATAGCACTACTAGGACTTGTGTAACTTATACAATGAAGAGAATTCAATTTAGCTTAAAAAACAGCAATAACAACAATACTTATTTACACTTACTGATTACATTCCCCTAGTTCTTTTCTCTTAAAAATATGAGAACAAAGGACTTGATACCTATAAAATTCATCATTTAATAAAAATAAATCTATTCTTCATGTTTCCCTAACAGAAAAAGAGAAAAGTGTAATAATAAACATTTATATTACATTTTCTAACAAAGTTAACGTGTAAGATTATAGAGATTTTGGCTCATGCCACAGTAAAATTTCTCTTCTTTGCAGGCCTAAATACAATTTCAAGAAATTGTTGAGCTATGACACCCAGAGGGATAAAATAAACTCAGCTGGATTTTAGGAGATAATCTAGATTAGGGTTTCTCCACTTTTGGCATCATTAGCATTTGGGGCTAGATAATCCTTTGTTGTAGGAGGTCTCCAATGCATTGTAAGATGTTTAAGAGCTTCCCTGGCTCTACCTACTAGAAGCCAGTAGTCCCCCCCCCCCCCGCCCCCCTGCCCCCAAGTTGTAACAACCAAAAATGTCTCCAGACACTGCCAATGTCCCCTGAGGGGAAAATTACCCCCAGACTAGAGAATGAGGACACAGATAAACCGATGAATTGGCAGATTAAACTGCAAAAGTTAACTTTAAGTCCAAAGCTAAAAAGGTAATATTTAGTATCTAAATCTGATATGCAAACTAAAGAATGTGAGTTGTAGGGTAATTGTAGGTGAGGGAAGGAGAGATTAAAAAATAGATTTCAAAATGTTAAGAGATATGTGTGTCTATTGCTAGAAAGAAAGAACATTCTAAAAATATTACTGCCACTTTTTTGTGTGAGTGCTCAAGGAAATAAAACCCTAGTTACATTTGCTGTTTTCCTCTTTTAGACTGCCATCTGGCAATCCATACTTCCGCTAGGAAAAATTCTAGCCAACTGGACTAAAATAGTTAATGCACCAACCCATGCACCAAAAATATGCCAGGGAATCTACGGCTTCCTCAGTCATGCCCAAAAAGAAAGAAACCATCATCCTCAGAAAACAAAAGTAAATAACTCACAGGATGCTTACACAACTTGGCAAAATTCCCCTCCTACCTTGGGGGGTGGGGGGGGACGGGGACCAAGTCACACAGTAGCTGGAGGAAAAGCACAAAAAAAGTATATGAAACAGGCAAACTAAAGTAATCAAACTCATTTATTGGATGTCAACTCATTCCCAAGACATATGGAGGTAAAAAATAAAGAGTCCACTAATCAAATACAAGAGAACACAACCTAAATAGTCATTATATTTCTGATGTCACAGAGATTTGTTAGGAATGAATGAAATAATGGGACAGGTGTAATGATCCTTGTAACACTCCTCAGGAAAGGCAGTGCGAAGATTCTTCATAATAATGAATACAAGGTTCACCACCATAACTGAATCTACTCCCACTTCCTTTTTCTTAATACCCAGAGCTTTAAAGTACAGCTGCAAATCTACTTCTGCCCACCCCTATAATGCAAAAACTGATATCAAAACCAGAAGAAAATGACTTTTCCATATTCACAGTGAGATTTAACATTCTTCTGAAAAATTCACATTTCAAATAAATAAAAAAAGATGATTTAAAAAGGTTTTAATAAACTTGACTAAATAAATCTAAATATATAAAGGCAGACATACATCCACACTAGTGAATAAAGAATATAATCAATGAATAACTTAAAAGTTTACTATGTATTAGAATACACACACACACACACAGCTAAACAAAGTTCCCAAAGCATCAAACACACATAAGCCTTATTCTCTGATCATGCATTAATAAAACACAAGGATAGTCAAGTGAACCCTATTTCCATTTAGGCTGGCATCAGATGCGCAAAAATCTAAATGGCAATTTGAGTGAGGGTGCAGGAAAATGGGCATTTATAGAAACTTCAGTTGGGAATATAAATCCATAATATCTTTTTGCAAAACAATTTGATATTATCTATCAAATTTTAAATGTCACACCCTTTGACTCAGCAATTATACTTTTAAAAATCCTTATTACAAAATAGTACACATAATCACAAAACAATGTACACACACACAGGACAGTACTACTACAGCAGCAAAAAGTACACCGATATCTATCGACAGAAAAATGAT